GAACCTAGGAGTGGTTTCTAATCCGATCATCACAGCGCAACCGAATCACAAAAAATTGGAAAGAGTGAAAAGAAACTAGAAAAAAGAATAAGCAAAGTAAAGCAACCTCCTTCAGATAATCTAGCATGTCAGGTGTTGGTTCAGTAAAATCTGGACCCCTATAATCAATTATTTCATTGGGATCTTGAATGTAGTTAACGGTAGGGTACACAGGATCGCCACCCCATACTGCAAAGGCCAACAACAAACTAAATTAGCTTACAGTTTACTTGGTAGAAGAATATCATGTATCCAATCAATCAGAAATGAAACCACTCGATAATTGATACTACGATACTAACAAATTCTTTGAATTTGAAGGCATCATAAATATGAGAAATGGACCCAAGAGAAGTTGGTGATAAACGTAATGAAAACCAAAATATAAAAAAATATGCTTTAAGGGAAGGAATAGGATGAAAATCAATTTATTACAGTTAGTTGGAAAAGAAAAAACTCGATGCAGGAAATTCCGGTGATAGAACAACATGACAATCAATGAACAAAATTGAAAATAACAAACAAACTTATCAGCTTTGGAATGGATACTTTGTTTAATCTGATCTTCTCGCATACGCATTGCCAATGGATCCCGACGAATGCGAATATCAGTCCCCATCATTATGCGAAACTCTCTCTCTGTTTGATTTTGGAACATTTCGATCATTTGGGTATTTTGATCCTCTCCAGTCTCTTCAAAATGTTTTTCTATGGCATCCTTTGAGGTGTCCCTCTTCCAATCTTTGACCCATTCTGAGTAGAATGCTATGGGACCTATTCTTTCCAATCTCTCCTGTTCAGCTTGAAGTCTGAAGAGAGAATCTGCTTATTATTAAAATGTTCCTAAACCACAGAGACACACAAGCAGTCTTGTTCGGCTTGAAGCCCATAAATGTAGAATTTATTTGTTATCAAATTTACTTCAACCAACGACAGTGTACAAAATATTTTACAAGCCTATGTGGTTAGAAAACAAATGGTAAGCACATGAGATTAGAATCAAGAGGAAATTACTGAGCATCAAAATAGAATCCACTAGCATTTTTTTTTAATTAAAACATAAGTCTTAGAAGCTCAAAGGATCCAATAGATTTCCAAATTCCATATATTTTGTCGAGTCTAATGCTGCTATGTATGTATGTATGTATAGTAAGAACCCAAATTTTCATTGAAAAAATGAAAGAATACAAGGGCATGCAAAAGCAAGCCCCAAAAGAAACATAGTCCAACACTAACTACAAAAACGGATTCCATTCCAAGAAAACGAGACCAATATCATAATTACAAAATAGCCTAGGAATCGACATCCACAAGGAAGCCTAAAACCTAAGAACATCCCAAAGCTCCTCATCCAACTTCTCTATCTCCCAAAAAATCCTATTACATCTCTCAAGTCAAATACCCCACAGAACCTAGCATGCCATAATTCTTTCTCCTTAAAGTGATGATTCAAAAGCACTTCCTCCAACAAAGAACGCCCATCTCTACGGAACACCCCATTAACCCCAAACGAGCTCCTGCAACGATCCCAAAGGTAGTTTGCAAACTGACATTCCCACAACAAATGGGGGTGCTTTAAGAATATCTTTCACATTCAGTACACCCTAAACTACTAAATAAGTATGCTTCGTTAAAATAAAAGAAAACTGTTGTATCATAATATCACTCAAGCTAGGATAGAATACCTTTCTTCCTTGAAAAGATGTCGCCGAGCCCTGTACAGAGATGTTTCAGTTAATGTTGGATGTTCACCATAAAGCTTTATCTGCCCGGTCTCTGCCATTGCTTTGAGAAAAACCTACAGATATTAAAAAAGGAAGGTCAGTATAAGATCTAAAGCCATTTTTCTTCATTTAAACAAGATCTAGATTTGTCTGTTGCCTAGTCTAGTCATTAAACACAAGAAAAATAGATCAAAGAAGAGCGCCTTCAAGGTTCATAGATTCTTTTTGTGTGTGAAAAAATAATTTCACTTGTAATCCTAATTTACACTGTTTTGCTAGTATGCAAGCATCAAATAGCAGTCGTTGATGCACAAAATATGCGTCTGTAATAACAAACAAGACTTAAGAGGAGACGAGCAATTGGAAATAATCTAGGACACAAATTCTGTATTTGCACTTACACTTATGGTGCCCGATATAGCAGCATATTTTGCATCACAAAGCATGTTTTCCATGGAGAGGTTCAAATTCCACTCAACGCAATTAAAGAAAGTACATATGCTAAGTTCATTGTTTAACCTTCACTATTTTTTTTTTTTTTTTCCCATATGGACTAACCGTTTCAACATCAGCTTTCCTCCTTTGCCACCTAGACCATTGTTCTTTTTCTGGCTTTCTCCAATTCCACCAAAGTTCTTCACTTGTACGAGGCTCCTCTATTGGCTTCTTCTTTTCGGGGTCAATGAATGGGTGAGGGTTTCCAAGCTTTTTGTCTAGATCAAACCCAGTTTCTTCGTCATCAGGTTCTGTCTTATAAACAACATACTGCGAAGTAGCATCTTTAGGCTCCTCTATTAAGTCCTCAGAAATGTCAGGGATCTCTGAGTCACTTGAATCTACTTCAGTCACTTCGGATGAATCAGAAGCAACAGCTGCTTGTGTTCTATTCTTCTTTCTCCTACTTCCCGGCTTTTGGCCATAGGAAGGAGAGCCCACTGATGCACCGGTTGGCGGGGGAGCCCTTGCAGCTCTAACGCGACTAGCAGTTCCTTCTGGCCAGTATTCTTCTCCTGGAATACTTGCACGTGCCCCTGAAGCTGGTTCAAGCTGCCCAGAAGTTGAGTCCATGTAAACATGGTATGGTGGGCGCTCCACCGATACATCTTCATATGATTCATCCCCATTCTCACACTTGATGCAAGGAACCAACTGATTTCTCTGTAGTGATTTTTTCAAAGCATTTCCCACCAGAACTAATCGTACTGGAAATGAACCAACAAATGGTGTCTGGATATTCAACAGAAAATTCATGCGCATTAAGACTGATGGAAAAAAAAGGATGAGCTAAGACAAAACCAGTCTTATACTAGGTTGAAAAATAAAATTTGCAATCATGACATTAATAAACTGCAAACCTTTGGGAAATTGGACAAAGGTTTCCCGCCAACACACCCATTAGCATAAAATACTCCCTTCCTTCCTCTATCTGCAATTCAACATCATTGGAATATCAGAAATCAATCACGTTCTTCGCTGGCTTATTACAACTAACAGATTCTGTATTGTTAATTAGATCAGCATAAAAGCTGTTAAGCCGTAATCTGGATAATGCTAGCACACCTGGATATAGACATGGAGTAGATAAGGAAGCCATCTCCAACTCAGAAGAAAGCGTAAACAAACCTGTACACATTTTCTCATTACGATACAATAAAATAATTCAAAACATGGGGAACAACAAGAAGAACACCAGGTCTTCTCCGGAAATTCTTTTTCACAGTCTTCACTAGACGATTCGGTTGCAAAATTACACTGATGACTCGACAATATTGAAGCCGGAAAACAATAACATTGCAGAGTGAACAGACAGTTCATCGTCCGTTTAACCAAAATTGAGAGGATACTAACATGTAAATAAAAGAAAGGTGTGGAATGTGAAACTCACAGTTGACAATTGAACAAATAATTCCGACTGCGGCAAACTCCGGTGCGATTTGTATTGATCTCGCGGGCTCCGGCGGGTTTAAGCTGAGGTTTTTCGGGCTCCTGCAGCCCAGAGAGGCGAAGGAAATGAATTCGACTCAGTTTGGAGTGGATAAGGCTAAAAAGGGTTCGAAATTCGGTTTGTCATCTCGACCCATTTTGTTTAGGTTAAGTTAATAATTTCATCCCTTATTTATTTATTTATTATTATTCAAATAAATATTCAAGCTTCTAATTTTTTTGGACAACATGATGGAACATTTCAACCCGGCAATTATGTCGTCCAAAGAATAAACTTTGATCTCAGCTACATTATTTTTCACCCAAAATTGTTATTTTCGTACCCTACCATCGATCCTCATTATTTCATGGTATGATTTTAATAAAGTAACGTAATTTGATTACAAATTAAGTTTAATTAGTGTACAAATTAACTACCGAACGTTGTCAAAATTCAAGAGCTGGAAAAATGTATAATGATGACGAGCTTTAGCATAATTCAAACTCGTTAAGACATGTTATTTTGATTGATCTGGATATCATAGTTTGAATCTCACTCGATATCATAGTTTGAATCTCGAGTGAAGAAGTTCATAAAAAAATAAATAAAAATATTTGTAATTTTTTTTTCATAAATAATGGATGGTTCAAAAACTTTTTATTTATTTATGATGTGAAAATAAAATAGAATATATATATATATATATTAAATTATTTTTTTTAATACTTGAAAATGGTTGGAGGTTTTAAATATAAAATACAAAATTAATTAGACAGAGAATTAAAATTAAAAAATATATTAAATATTCATAAATTGCAGTTGATAAACTGCAGATCTAAAATAAATAATTTTGGTAGGCAATAATGACCTGTTGACCGGCAAAACTTGGAAAATTAATTCAGATCATTGTCGTTCATTGACCGTTGTTTGGAATCAGACAGTCATCTATAAATGCTAAATTAATTATTTTATTTTAGGATTAATTTCCGTGGGCCCTACAGTTACAGTTCGTTATTACTCCATCGTAATATTTGAAAAGATTTTAAATATAAATAACATAAAATTTGATTTTTAATGAAAATAAAATAAATAAAATAAATCATTTGAAATGAATTTTTTGGAGGGATAAAAATGGGATTAAAATATAAGAGAAATACAAAAGATTATATTATATTTGGATAAAAGGTGGAAAATTGAGTGAAAATAATTGGATTGGGCGAGAATATTAAGCAAAATTGGAATTGTAGCCTACCAATAAGAAAAAGGTTGAAGCTGTTTTTACATTTGAGTCCTTGAAGGGTGTTCTTATTTTCATTTCATGGGTGACTTCAATCTACCACGACCACGACAGCCTCGTTTTCGGGCCTTTCCGATTTCACCATGTTTATGGGGCTTTCCATTTATGTCTTCAATCTAAACTTATGGTCAATTTCTTTCCGCCAGGTTGTTCCCCCATTCACTTGATCTTCGGCGATTGATTGGTGTTGCCCAGCCGTGTTCATTGGTTTCTTTTGTTTTCTCTTTCCGTCTAGCATTTCCTAAATAGGGTTTGTTCGGACAACATTCAACTAAGATCATAAAAGGAAACGAACCCCGCTGATTTTGGGGTTCTACACCAGTTCTTCATGTTTCCTATTGCGATGTATTGCTTATTCTGAAATTTGGTGATTCCTAAACCCTGTCTTTCACATTCATTCGATCTCCTGGTTATTGCGGTATGCGCTCTTGCTTGTATATAGATTTTTGTTATTGCATTGTATTGATACACGTACGGATGCTGGGCTGAACATTTGGTGGGTCAGATGAATTGGTGTGTGTAATTTATGGTTGTTGTAGAGTACGTTTGAGCCTCTTGTTAGGTAATTTGTTTTTGTAGATGAAGAAGCTTAAGACAGAACCTCCTGTTGCGAGGAGGTTCAGGTTGTCGCATTTTCTTCTCGTAATTGGATTGTTGTATTTAGTTTTCATATCGTTTAAGTTTCCACGTTTTTTGGGAATTGCTACAACGTTGAGTGGGGATGAAAGTAATATTGGGTTGGATGGGACAGTCGGAGTGGATGGGGAAGGGGTGGATTTTAGCAAAGCATCGTTGGCTTCCGTTTATAAGGATACATTTCATCGGAAATTGGAAGATAACCAGCACTTAGAAGCACCATTGATGCCTAAAACAGAGCCACTCGAAGAGGTGAATAATGTTACCGGACCTATTAAGCCGATTCAGCATAAATATGGTCGGATTACTGGTAAAGTTTCGATTCAGCAGAATCATACTAACGACTTTTCCATCCTCGAGAGAATGGCAGATGAAGCTTGGACATTAGGCTCGAAGGCTTGGGAAGAAGTGGATAAATTTGGATTAAATGAGACTACTGAAAGTTCTATGCTCGAGGGAAAGCCTGAGTCGTGTCCTTCATGGATATCTACGGAAGGGAAGGAACTGTTGGAGGGAGATGGAATCATGTTCCTTCCTTGTGGGCTTGCTGCAGGTTCATCTATTACAATAATTGGAACCCCGCATCACGCTCATGTGGAGTATGTACCCCAACTTTTGAAGCTGGGAGGTGATCCTACGGTTTTGGTTTCACAGTTCATGGTTGAATTGCAAGGATTGAAATCAGTTGATGGTGAAGACCCACCAAAGATCCTTCACTTGAATCCACGACTGAAAGGCGATTGGAGTAAACGGCCGGTCATTGAACATAATACATGTTACAGGATGCAGTGGGGAACGGCTCAAAGGTGTGATGGTTTGCCATCAAGTAGCGACGATGAAATGCTTGGTGAGATTAATCTCCTCCTTTCTGTTTTCATGTGTTTTTCATCACTAGCATTCAATCACTCCCGTGTGACACTCATAACCGGTGATGGTGTATGATGGCTGCAAATTATTGTTCTTCTCGACAATAGTGTAAACTAGTAAATGAGGAATATTTTCAATTTGGTCCAGCTAAAAGAAAGAATTTGTTCAGCATGCGTTTCACCCCCCCCCCCCCCCCCCCCCCCCCCCCCCCCCCCCCCCCCCCCCCCCCCCCCCCCCCCCCCCCCCCCCCCCCCCCCCCCCCCCCCCCCCCCCCCCCCCCCC